AGAATGGTTGGGGGAAGCCCTGTTTCAAAGTGGGTTGTTTTAAATTAGAAATAATTTTTAAAAAAGGGCCCTTGGGAGTGTGAAAAGACACTAAAAAAATGGTGGGATAAAACCTAAATTAATAAATTTTAATTAAAACCTAAATTCCCCAAATTTTCAAGGCCCAAAAAACAAGATTTGGTTTTGGGGGAAAAAAATATGGTTTTTAAAAAATTTCGTTTCTTTAAAAAATTTTTTCTAACGCAACCAAAACGTAAAAAACCAAGGGATCAAGGGAACCCAAACATTGAAGAAAATATCTAAAAAACACCCAAAATATTTAAAATTAAAAAAAATCCCCCCAAATTTTTATAAAATTTTCCCCTTTAAACCCCTTTTTTTGGAACAAAATTTGGTTTCCCCTTCAAGGGTTTTCGTTTTCTTAATAAAAAAATTTTCTTTTTCGCATTTTTTGGGCCGATTCCCCCCTCCCCTTATTTCAAAAAAACCCCCCGCCTTAAAACCCCCCAAAACAACTGTTATAATCACAAAAAAATCCAAAAAGGTCAAAAGTTTTATTTCCCCCCAAACCTTTTTTTCCTTTTTAAAAGGGGTTTTCCCCCCCCTTCCCCTTCACATTTGTTTTCCCCCATCAAATCAAAATTTGGTTCTCTCCCCTTAAAAAAGTCCCCCCAAATTTTGGCCAGATTCCCGGTTGTACCCAAAAAAAATACCCGACCGTTAAATCCCCAAAAGACATCCTTAAAAACAGAAAAACCCCCCTTTTAAAAAGTAATGTTTTATAAACTTATCCAAAACAGGATACTTTTTTTATCCCTTTTATTTTAAAACTTTTTTTAATTTTTAACTGTTTTAATAAACCCTTTGGGGGCCTGTCCCAAAAAGGAAAAAATACAAAGTTTTTAAATTTCCCCTTTTTAAAAATTTTCCCCCAAACATTATCTGAAATTTTTTAAAAAATAATATTTATAATAAAAACAAGACCCTGGTTTTTCCCTTTAAAAAAGGGAAACGGTTAAGTTCAAAGGACAATGGGGGATTTGAATGGGAAACAGGTTTCCCAAAAGGCCATTTTGGGCCTTTTTCAAAATTTTTTTTTAAAAAATTTTTTGGGAAAAAGTTGGAACTCCCAAAAAAACGCTTGGAAAAGGCCCTTTTCCCGAAAAAGCTGTTTTTCCCGGCCCCTTTACCCGGGAAATTCCCCGGGTTTTTGGACAAACTTCCCTTTTCAAAAAATTTAATTGAATAGCCCCGGGAAAAGCCCCAAAAAGAACCCTTTTTCCAAAACCCACCCGGGGGGACCCGTTCCATTTCGGGCAAAAATTTAAAAGGTAGGGTTTAGGTTACAGGGGGGAAAAGTAGGCCTACACATTATCCCGGCCAGAAAACTTGCTGCGAAATCCCCCCAAACATAGGGCCGTCCCCTGCATCCCTAATCCCTTTTTAGTTCAGTTTACATTTTTTGGGCCTTTTTTTTTTAAGTTTTAAAAAATTTAAATTTTTCGCTGGAAAGGGCGTTGGGGAAAATCAACCCTTTTTTCTCTCCCCCCTCATTCGCTTTAAAAAAGACGGAAATACAGGGGGGGCCCTTTTCCCCAGTCCCCGGGCGAACGAGACCAGATAAATTAGGGAAATTTGGCCCGGGGGTTTTTTGTGCTGGCAAAAGGGAACTGCCCATGTCCGGTAAGATGAGTGATTTGGGGGGTGTCATTTGGGCAAAAACACTGGGCGGGGGATTTTTTAATTTTTAAGGAATACGAGGGTTTTTGCTCGCCTGAGGTAGGGGGGGTTAACCCCCATAATTTAAATTAGACCACACTATTACCAAGGAGTTTCCTATATTTTTTGAGCCCCTTTTACCCCCACAAAAACCCATGCGGAAAAAGACCACCTCAACGGCTGTATAAGGCCATAAACCAAAAAGAAAATGCTCATCCCGAAGCAACACTCCTATGGTTAGGGGCTTTAAAACCGGCCAAACCCCTTTAAAACTGGTTTTTCCTCATTTCTAACGCATGTCAATGTCCAACTAAAGGGAAAAAAACTATTTTGACCACCTTTACTTTCCCCACACAGAAACACAGACCAAAACTATCCCCCCTCGCCCCCATTTTGGGAAATTTGACCATAATTTACCTCCGGGTTCCTGTTTACAAGCAAAAACTAAAACAGGGGGGGTACCCGTGATCGCTCAAAGGGCGGAAATGGTCAGATGACGCAAGGGACGCTACAGGACTGTTTTTTCTACACAGACGGGAAAAATGTTCCAGGATTTATCCAATGACATTTAGGAGATACCACCTCAGGCCCCCGGCTTCATTTAAAAAGTTTTCGCGACGTCTCCCAAGGGACCATAAGTACATATCCCATCCCGAAGCCATGGATTACAAGGCAACATTTTCCCCACCCAAATAAAGGTGAGGGCCGCTTTCCCAAAGGAAAGGGCACTAAACTGGATCTTTTAAAAAACACGCTATGCCCTAGACGAACCCTCAAAAAAGCAAAGTGTCCCAATTCAAGGGCTAAGATTGAATCCTAATTTCACCGGCCCAGGAAAAGGGGGGTACAAAAGGTTGTTTCAGGGCTTGCAAACCCATTCGGACTAAAACGAAACCCAGCTGCGAGCTGCCCCGTGAAAGCGAGCCTACCCGATGGGCTAAAAAGCCTTTTTAAAAACTCACGTCGAGGCAACAACAATGAAGAAAGCAATGAGACACCAGCTTTCGGGCCCAAAAGTGTGATCACCTTTTCCGTAGCGATGTGGGGCAAGACCTTTTAAAAAAAGGGCAAATTTACAAAAGCCCCGGGCCAACTGATTTCCCCGGACTGTGCTCAGAGCAAATGCGGACCAACTGGCAAAATGTCTTCAAATTTACATTTTCAAAAACCCCTCACGGGCCAAAATCTGTAAAACCTACATTTTTCAAGCAGAAACCCCCATATCCTGGCCCCCAAAAAAAAGACGGTAACCGCCTAAATACTACCGCCCCGTAAACACTCATTCAGTAGCCATGAAGTCTTTGAAAGGTGGTCTGGCCAAAATCAAAAACCATAAACCCCCCCAAAAAACCCTAAAACCCCACTCCAATTTTGATTTCCGCCCCAACAATCCCCCCATTTACGCCCAAACTCAATCGGGACTCCACACTGCCCTTTCCCACCTGGAAAAGGGGAAAACATATGTGAGAATGTGTTTATTGAATAAAACTCAGCCCTTCAACACCATAGTTTCCCAAAAAGCTAAGAAAGCCCCTGGGGGGCCCCGGGACTATATACCCTCCCTCTGCAACTGGAATTTCCCGGAAATTCCTGACAGGAAGGCCCCCCAGGTGGTAAGGGTAGGCAACAACACATTTTGCCAAGTGATCTTCAACACGGGGGGGTTCAGGGGTGCGGTTTTTTCTCCCCTGTACCCCCCTGTTTCCCCCCCCTTACTGCGTGGCTAAGCACGATCCAATACCATCATTAAATTTGTTTACGACACAACGGTGGTAGGGTGAACCTGAAACGATTTAGGGGAAACCCTAAGGGGGGGAGGGCAGAGACCGGCAGTGGGGGCCAAGGGGCAACAAAACCCCTCCCCCAATGGGGGAAACAAGACAAAGGAGGTGATCTTTAAAATAAAAGGAAAAAAGGGGGGCCGGGAAAACGCCCCCCCCTTCACATCCCAATGGGGTGTAGTGAGCGGGGGGCGAGATTTTTAAATTCCGGGTTTACCATCTCCAACAAACTAAATGGTTCCCCAAAAACCCCAAAAAAGTCATGAAAGGGCAGGCAATGCCTTTTCCCCCCCAGGGGGAATGAAAAAGATTTGGCAGGGGGCCCCCGTCCTCAAAGCTTCCCCTTATCGAAGGGGTCGAAAGGTTTCATTTCCCCCCCTGGTATGGCAACTGCTCGGCATTTCCCACGTAAGGGGTCAGAGGGTAGTGCGTTAAAAGGAAATAAATTTACTGGGGTTTCCTAGTTTCCCCCATCCAGGACATTGTCAAAGAACCGCCACCCCAGTCATAGACTGTTCGTCCTTTCTCCCCCCATGGCAAGGGAACCCCCGGGGGCGCCAAGGGTTAAAGGGCCAGAAAAGGGTCCTTAACAGCCTTTTCCCCCACCCCCCAAACCATTAAAAACTGCTTAAAAAAATTTAAACAAATTGGGACCCCAGACTGTTTACATTTTAAAAAAAAAACCCCCCCCCCTTTTTTTTTTAAAATCTGCCGCTACTCCTGTTTATTTCTATGGCCCAAAATCACTTTACCCATACCCACATTACAAATTACCCCGGGCTAACTCCTTCCTCCGCCCCATTGATCGGACTAAACCCCCCTTAAATAGCCTCGTTTGTTATTTTTTTGTTTTAAATTTTTTAAAAATTTTTCTTTAGTTTTTTGGGAAATATTTTTTCTTAACTCTTTTTTTAAATGCATTGTTTTGGGTTTAAAGGGGTTGTAAGTAAACATTTGACGGGAAGGGGCTACACCTGTTTTTATTCGGCCCCATGTGGGCAAAGGCAATTTGTTTGATTTTATTTTGAACCAGGTAAAAAGGGGCTTTTGACCTACTGAACAATCTAAAACCCCTCTTATGAAATGTAGGGCCCCGTTTTAATACATTTTCCTCATGGTCTCCCTATTCCCGAGAAACTGCTAAACCCCAAAGACCGGCCCCCCCCTTGGGCCTTTTTCCCAAACAGGTTAAATTTTAGTTTGAATTAAAAAAAACCATTTTTTGATGTGAGTGTGTGTGTGTGTGTTTGTAGCATAGTCTGAAGTCATCGTCTGAGTGTGGGTGTGTTTTGTCATGTGTGTGTGTGGTGTCGTCATACGTCTGTGTGGTGTTTTGTAGGTTGTGTGTGTGTGTGTGTGTGTGTGTGTGTGTGTGTGTGTTTCGTCATAAGTCTGTGTGTGTGTGTGTGTGTGTGTGTGTGTCGTCATACGTCTGTGTGTGTGTGTCTCTTTCTCAATCTGTCTCTTCAGTCTCTCTCTCTGTGTTCCTCCCTCTCTCAGGTGCCAGAGCTGGCTGGGTTCTGGCTGATCTCCTTCCTGTTCCAGCTGCCCATCCTACTCTTCTTCCTGACTGACGAGGACATCATCATCCTCCCTCTGGAGAGGGCCGTCCACTCCATCTACCTCCTCTTCATCCTCTCAGAGCTCCTGGCTTCCTTCTTCGCCCTCAGGTAGGATGATGTACTGTATATGCCATTTAGCAGACGCGTCTAGCGCCATGCTTTATCAACTGAGCCATATGGGAGCCATCACAGAGGAGTGTCTATGGAAAGCTGATGTATAGCTATACTGTGAGTAGCAAAACATTGTCAAATCAATCAATCTCATGCAGAGCAGGTAAAGCAGAACAAAGTCTCTGTTTACCTTTCAATGGTCATGGCATCTGTTCAGGGACAATCATCCATATGTAATATTTTCCTATTCTCACTCTTCTTCTTCTTCTTCTTCTTCTTCTTCTTCTTCTTCTTCTTCTTCTTCATTCTTCTTCTTCTTCTTCTTCTTCTTCTTCTTCTTCTTCTTCTTCTTCTTCTTCTTCTTCTTCTTCTTCTTCTTCTCCTTCTTCTTCTTCTTCTTCTTCTTCTTCTTCTTCTTCTTCTTCTTCTTCTTCATCATCTTCTCCCTCAGGGCCATGACCAGGAAGTTAACCCTGCTATTCCACCTCAGGCAGTTTGGGGAGGTGGAAAACCTTGACCATCACCACCTCCACCACCTCCACCATCACCACCTCCACCACCTCCGCCCAGCGGGGAAGAGCCCAGCCTTCGGCATGCCAAATTATGGGAGGACTGTTCTGCCAATGCCGCCATACACCAATAACGTTCACAGTCACTGAGAGAACACAGAGAGACAGCCAGGGACACTGTGCCTGGGTTGGATGGGACTGGGGGATGGGGTACGATCTGGAGTTAAAGGTGTAGGGGTGAATAGTTTAATGTGGAAGAGAGTTGTTGTGAACACAGCCTTTAAATGTTTTTCCAAAGAGGGAGGACGCTTTTGAAGTGTTCCATGATGTCCAAAATATTTTGCTGGATTTTGTGATCTTTATGACATGATGAGTTGATGCACTGTTTCATAGTGGTTGTGTTTTCATTTATAGATATTTTAAAAAATATTGAACATTGGTAGTAGTGATAGCCATAACATATTAGAACCACATGGTGGCACTAAATGACCATAAGAGGGGTTAGTAATAAACTGAAGAGCGTGGCAAAGTCCCAATTGTAAGGCAGAATAATCACAGACTGTAGTGCTGCACAGATACTGGTTAGAGAGCCTTTCTGATTGTCTTTACAAGTGTAGCTTGTCTGAAGCTGTCAGACAGATACATTAAGGAGACAGACCAATGGCAGCACAGTGTAATAGAGCACTTGAGAAAATATGCTAGATAACACATCTCTAATTAATATTAATTCAATTAAAATCCTATAATTCAATTAAAATCCTATATGCCAAACAACAAGTTATTTGGTTGGGAAGGAAGAAAGTGGTTCTCTTCAAAGATTTAACAGTTTTCTTTCAATAACATATTTCTATTACGCAACTAAAGACGTATAATAACCAGCATACAAGTAACCTTGCATCAGACCACCGATCCTAAAGGTTATCTACAAAGAACACTATGATTGTATATCACTAAATAGAAATCACAGCCTCAATGCGTTTCGAGTCAAGCTTATCTCTCTCTAGCCGTGGTTCCACCTTGCATTAACATGTGGTTGTCCTCATCAGATCAAGATTTGTTGCGTCTACACATGGTAATAAAATGTGTCTCTTGTCTTCGTTCATATTGTGACCAGATTCGCTGGCCCCTCCATGTATGCAAATGAATCCAACCTGCCTTAGACCTCCCATTATGACACAAGCTGTATCAATCGACAGAAAACATCACACTTTTAAAGTCAATCGTTTTATACTCTCATCATTACAGACTACTTTTGTTATCCATTGATTTAAAACTGGGCGTAATAGACTACTGTCCCTATAACCTCGACCTTTGACCTGTCCACAGCCATACAAATACATGTTCTGAGAATCTCTCCCATCCCTAAAAAAGTCACCACACAAATGAGCTGAGTATCTGGATTTGTGCACAAAATACAATTACTGCACAGTATAAATACAAATGACATGTACCTTAAAAACAGAAACAGGTTAAGTTACAGAGTAGGCTACAAAGTGCATCTCTGAATGGCGCAACACGTTATCCAAACAGGTCTGGACAGGGTTGTTCTTTATGCATGGATGTTTACATACGTTGTTTTTATATTATTGTAATCTTGTATTGTAATAACCTTTAGTATAGGCCTAATCAGTACCAACGGGGAAAAAAGTGACATGCTTGGAGAATGACCCTGGTTCAGTTTCCACCAAATCATTGATCAGTGATAATTCGCTAACGGAACCTCAATATGATAACCTATAGCAAGACGCATGGTCAAATTATACTAAAAAAGCGACAATCGATAAAAAGTGCAAAGGAGCAATTGGCTTTATAAAGGAATAAAGTGTAAATCTAGAAGTAGCCTAAAGAGGCCTACCTTCGTATTGAAGCCTACATTATATTGGACAGTGAACTTCGCTGATGCTTCCAGAAAGCTGTGCGCCTTTACGCATCAGTTTGGACATCTTCTGCACTTTATTGATAGCTGGAAAATGCTAAAAGACTGTTCACCACCGCCCACCGTTCATTCTGGCTAGATCTAAAGGTAGGTTACAGGTGGAAAAGTAGGCCTACACATTATACCTGGCCATAACACTTGCTGCGACTCCATCATAGTCCGTCCCATGCATCCCTAATACATTTGTAGTTCAGTTTACATTCTTGGCCTTTCCAATGTTTTAAAATATTAGATTTTGCGCTGGCATTGGACGTGGGAACATCAAACCCTTTTTCTCTCCCCGTCATTCGCGTGAAGAAAAGACGGAAATACAGGGGGCGTTTCACCGAGTCGTGGCTGAACGACGACACAGATAATATACAGTTGGCTGGGTTTTCTGTGCATCGGCAAGAGAGAACTGCTATGTCCGGTAAGATGAGTGATGTTGGTGTGTGTCTATTTGTCAATAACAGCTGGTGCGCGATGTCTAATATTAAGGAAGTATCGAGTTGTTGCTCGCCTGAGGTAGAGTACCTCATAATAAACTGTAGACCACACTATCTACCAAGAGAGTTTACCTATATTTTTCGTAGCCGTCTATTTACCACCACAAACCGATGCTTGCAATAAGACCACACTCAACGAGCTGTATAAGGCCATAAGCAAACAAGAAAATGCTCATCCAGAAGCAACACTCCTAGTGGCTGAGGACTTTAATGCAGGCAAACTTAAATCTGTTTTACCTCATTTCTAACAGCATGTCACATGTCCAACTAGAGGAAAGAAACTATAGACCACCTTTACTTCACACACAGAAACACAGACAAAGCTATCCCTCGCCCTCCATTTGGCAAATCTGACCATAATTCTATCCTCCTGATTCCTGTTTACAAGCAAAAACTAAAGCAGGAGGTACCAGTGATTCGCTCAAGACGGAAGTGGTCAGATGACGCAGATGCTACGCTACAGGACTGTTTTGCTAGCACAGACTGGAATATGTTCCAGGATTCATCCAATGACATTGAGGAGTATACCACCTCAGTCACCGGCTTCATCAATAAGTTCATCGACGACGTCGTCCCAAAGGGACCATACGTACATATCCCATCCAGAAGCCATGGATTACAGGCAACATCCGCACCAAGCTAAAGGCTAGAGCTGCCGCTTTCAAGGAACGGGACACTAATCTGGATGCTTATAAGAAATCACGCTATGCCCTCAGACGAACCATCAAACAAGCAAAGTGTCAATACAGGACTAAGATTGAATCCTAATACACCGGCTCTGACGCTACACGGTTGTGGCAGGGCTTGCAAACTATTACGGACTACAAACGTAAACCCAGCTGCGAGCTGCCCAGTGACGCGAGCCTACCAGATGGGCTAAATGCCTTTTATGCTCACGTCGAGGCAAGCAACAATGAAGCATGCATGAGAGCACCAGCTGTTCCGGACAACTGTGTGATCACGCTCTCCGTAGCCGATGTGAGCAAGACCTTTAAACAGGTCAACATTCACAATGCCGCGAGGCCAGACTGATTACCAGGACGTGTGCTCAGAGCATATGCGGACCAACTGGCAAGTGTCTTCACTGACATTTGCAACCTCTCACTGACCAAGTCTGTAATACCTACATGTTTCAAGCAGACCACCATAGTCCGTGTGCCCAAGAAAATGACGGTAACCTGCCTAAATGACTACCGCCCCGTAGCACTCATGTCAGTAGCCATGAAGTGCTTTGAAAGGCTGGTCATGGCTCACATCAACACCATCATCCCGGAAACCCTAGACTCACTCCAATTCGCATACCGCCCCAACAGATCCACAGATGACGCAATCTCAATCGCACTCCACACTGCCCTTTCCCACCTGGACAAAGGAACACATATGTGAGAATGCTGTTCATTGAATACAGCTCAGCGTTCAACACCATAGTTCCCACAAAGCTAAGAGAGACCATGGGACCCTGGGACTATATACCTCCCTCTGCAACTGGATCCTGGACTTCCTGACAGGCCGCCCCCAGGTGGTAAGGGTAGGCAACAACACATCTGCCAAGCTGATCTTCAACACGGGGGCCCTTCAGGGGTGCGTGCTTAGTCTCCTCCTGTACTCCCTGTTCACCCACGACTGCGTGGCTATGCACGACTCCAATACCATCATTAAGTTTGCTGACGACACAACGGTGGTAGGCCTGAACACTGACAACGATGAGACAGCCTATAGGGAGGAGGTCAGAGACCTGGCAGTGTGGTGCCAGGACAACAACCTCTCCCTCAATGTGAGCAAGACAAAGGAGATGATCTTGAACTAGAGGAAAAGGAGGGCCGAACACGCCCCCATTCACATCGAATGGGCTGTAGTTGAGCGGGTCGAGAGTTTCAAGTTCCTTGGTGTCCACATCTCCAACAAACTAACATGGTCCAAACACATCAAGAAAGTCATGAAGAGGGCACGGCAATGCCTTTTCCCCCTCAGGAGAATGAAAAGATTTGGCATGGGTCCCCAGATCCTCAAACAGCTGCATTATCGAGAGCATCCTGACAGGTTGCATCACCGCCTGGTATGGCAACTGCTCGGCATCCGACTGTAAGGCGCTACAGAGGGTAGTGCGTAAGGCCCAGTACATCACTGGGTGCCTAGCTTCCTGCCATCCAGGACATTGTCAAAGACTACAGCCACCCTAGTCATAGACTGTTCTGTCTGCTACCACATGGCAAGCAGTACCGGAGCGCCAAGTCTAGGTCCAGAAGGCTCCTTAACAGCTTCTACCCCCAAGCCATAAGACTGCTGAACAATTAATCAAATGGCCACCCAGACTGTTTACATTTTACACCCCCACCCCTTTGTTTTTACTCTGCTGCTACTCGCTGTTTATTATCTATGCAAAGTCACTTTACCCATACCTACATGTACAAATTACCTCGACTAACTCATACCTCCGCACATTGACTCGGTACTACCCCCTTCATATAGCCTCGTTATTGTTATTTTATTGTGTTACTTTTTTAATTTTTTTACTTTAGTTTATTTGGTAAATATTTTCTTAACTCTTTCTTGAACTGCATTGTTGGTTAAGGGCTTGTAAGTAAGCATTTGACGGTAAGGTCTACACCTGTTGTATTCGGCACATGTGACAAAGGCAATTTGATTTGATTTGATGTTTGAACCAGGTATAAAAGGGGCTTTTGACCTACTGAACAATCTAACCCATGCTTATGAAATGTAGTCCTGTG